TTTTGAATTAATAAAAAAAAAATGATTTGTTCAATAGTATATTATAATAGAAAAATATAGGTAGTTTTAAATTTTTATTAATAATTAATAGAAAAATTTTATTTATTTATTTGGGCCCCTATACGAACGGGCCCGGGTGCGACCGCACCCTCTGATCCCTCTTAGTTACGCCACTGTTTATAATATATTATATTATGATATAATTTATTTGTGTTCGACATTTTAAGCGATTTTTATTTTTACAGAAAATCATTTGACAAAAATGCAAATTATAAATTATCAATAAAATATCTTATCACATCGTGTTACTCTTACATAATGATTTGATAATTCTCTCAAAGGCATAACATTGTCAATCAGTAATTGAGAATTTGAAAAAATGATGGTAAAACATTTAAGTTATCTATTCGATTCCGCGTGTTTAAATTAAACGTTTAAAAAAATAGCGTTTAAATTAATGCCTGAAAATGGAAACAGTTACTAATAAATAATATTTATTTCAATCACCGATAACATTGTAACAACAAAAATGATATGCATGCAATTTAAAATAAATCTTTAATACCACCTGTCAAATACAAAAGGTTTGATTTAAGATTGAAAAATTAGTGTTTATTTATTGAAATGATCGATCAACTGTAAAATTGTTTTAAACAAATAATTAATGTACCCTCGTCGTTTCCCGCAAGACACTCCACGGCTAGGCAAGGCACGCGACCTGGTAAAATACTTATGCGTGAACTGCTGGAACATCGACCCTTTTGTTAACGCAAAAAAGATTTAAAGTTATTTGGTATATAAAGTAAGAATAAAAATAACGYTTTTCAGTTATTTAAAATTAAAATATTTTAGTTATGTTTTAGTCCGTGTGAGTATTTTCATTATACTGCAGAAGAGTGATAATATAGAATGATTGTGTAGTCTAATTGAATTTAAATTTCCCCAGAACGCTATTCATATAATACTTACAGTAGTACTTTTTTTTTCCTATGGTATCGAGGACCGGAGAAGGACTTACAGTAGTACTATAGAGATGTTAATTATACAAAATCATTGGAGTGAAAAATATAAAAAAATTGTTCACCTTTATTATAAAAAGAGTACCGCAATAGAGTATGATGTTTAGATGCATCTACGCAGTAGTTAAACTATATATAATATTAATAATATAAGCTAAAACGTTGTCCTCCCTTCGCCTACTCCACCGCGCAGTCTGAAACCACCGGGACGAAAACTCSCTTAAACCACCCACCCGTTTCATCCCCATCAACCAAAACCACGCTTTCCCGTGCACTCAAAACCCTGCCAACTCATAATGCATAATATGGTATGCACTACCCGTGTAATACCATACTTACACGATATAATTAATAAATAATATTATAAACACACGTCTGACGCAAACAACTTTTCACGATCGTTTTTGCAGGGTAAAATTGATCGAGTGCTCGGCCAAGGACAATRTGAACGTGCGAGATCTGTTCAAGTGCTTGCTGGTGCTGTCCCGGAAGTTAAACGGACCGGAAGACCAGGCAGCTTGCCCGCTGAAGCGCCGATCTAGCGCGTACGTCAGCCACACCAAGTCGTCGAGGCGCGTCGCGGAGAACACGGTAGCTGCCACTACATCCGGTCCGACGGGAAGCGCTTCCGGTCACGGACGCGACGAGCACCAGCTCCAACAGCAACAGCAGCAGCAGCAACAAGAAAGGGCAAAACCACGCAGCCGCAGCTTGATCAGACGATGCAGCCGGAAGGCCAAACAACAGATCAGGGACACGACCACTGGTGGAAGTGGAGGTGGGGGTAATGGTGGTGGAGTGGACGACTGCAACGTCAGCTAAATGCTCGCATGATAATGATTTAATATCCGATACACTATATAAATACATAACAATAATAATATATTGTCTTCAGTGARTGAAACAAAATTCACACTCATACTTACAATAATTCATTATTTTTATCATTTTATACGCATTATAATAATTATCATAGTATTATATCGCGCGTATTACTCATCAGAGTTTTACTAAAATAATAATTTAGAAAATAATGTTGTATTGTCTGTCAAATTTTTAAACCACCCTCCCCCCTCCTCACGAAACTTTCACAAGACGATTTTTTCCCGCGCGTTTGTAATATCCATGTCATGTAACAACCATCGGCTAGTTATTTTCGCTTTTTTCCTCTGGTTCATTACTTAGTATAGAACTACAACTACTGTCTACTTAATACGTTAACTACCACTTATTTTTTTCATTTAAATTGCCTCGAGGCCATGTGTACATTTTTTTTTATACACACGCTACTAAACTTGCTTCCATGTATTATTTATCATTATTATGTACACTGAAATTTTTGAACTCGCCATATCTATGTCCAAAATCCTGACACGTTACTGTTGATTTTAGATACTAATATGAATCTCGTGGCCCCTAAGACCATTTCTGTGTTTTCAGGAAACTCATTGTATGACTTGTTCCTATAATAATCTACTTGTTATTTTGACCAATTATTGTACGGCAAACATACAAAAAAATACTTGCATATGAACGGCGATTTTACCGTGCACAAAATAACGTACACATGACAGTAAACGAGTTAAACATTGATTTATTTTGTTCGTTTTGAGTGTGCTCAAATACTAATATTCGTTGACGTGCCTTGGTCGGGTACCTACCCATTTATACCATGATATGTAGATACCGTATTTTATGATAATAAAATAATAATATTAAGAGCGGAATTACAACTAAATACCTATTAAAAACAATTTTCAATTTTCACATCTTTCGCGCACAATTTGTACATAATATATTATAATATAATATGCACACTCTGTATATATGTATCGTTAATTAATGTTTATCAGTCCACTGTTGACGGCACTGGAATGACAAAATCAYTTTATTATTTCTATATTACATTATATTTCTTGCACCAGGCAATAGGTAATTTTAACAGTGTCGATATACTTGTGTTTATTTATATCATAGTCAACTTATATAATATGTACCTATTATATTCTTATGCTACTGTCGGTGTCGGATTTTACGTATTAAAAATATATTAAAATTATAATCACTGTCTTTATAAAGTATACACCCATAAAACTAAAACAATATATCATATTATATTATGCCATCGTGGTACTTGAGGAAATTTAGCATGTTTTAAATTTGATTACAAAATTATTATTATTATAGTTTTATTTTTTTTTACACTGTATTGATATTTGTTACTGATTAGAAAATGCTATCAACGTATAAATTAAATGTTGGTTCTATTATGTTATGTACTATTATTTTCGGTCTCACATAGTGATTGAAAAGTAATTATCACCATATTATAATTTATTTATAGGTGATAGATTTCAAACAACGTTATAATTTTTGGGAAACAATTAACATTAATCATAAAAACCACTGGTTTTGAGTTTACCTTTCTGAACGCGGGTTTCGGCCATGCTTAAAATGTAAATATAATAATTAATAAATTATTTTGACATAATAATTATTATAATTTAATTTAAATGTTCAATGTGTTTTATTACGAATTATTTAATCTAATAAACACGTTTTAAATACCTATTATATAATCGACGTTGATCAGACGATTCTTATTACATCGGTTATCGTCTGTATTTCGTGTAAATATTTTATTAATTTGAATATTAATTACGCTAACCTGTAATCTCTGATTTCAGTGGTACAACATATATGATTTAACCAATAAACGTGATAAATTGTAGTTAATTCGTTGATTTATATTATGCCATTTATTTCCAAGTGCTTCCATAAGCGTATTGTTCAGATAGTAAATCTATTTAGATACGATAATAGAATGTCTTAACATAACAATATATTAGTAATTTAATTAAATAACGAACAAACATATAATTTTAAATGTCAGACAAATAAAAATATGCACTATTTATTCATACTWAAATTTAAAACATTCATCATAATTTGTTCACGAAGCATTTTCAAAGTGTGTACGCTAAACGCACCTAATACTGCACGATACCACTAAACTATAGGCAATGTATTTATTTGTCCAAATTAATAAATAATTTCCATTCGATATTCGATATTACTAAATACATTCTAATAACTTGACTATTTTACTAAATATAATATTCTATATTTACGGTTTTCAAATAATAAGCCAGAACTTACATCATAAAATAGTAATAGTAACCTACATAAAGTACGAGTATACCTATTAACAGCGTGTAAAAAAAAAAAAACGGTTATATTAATATAGACAAGAACATTCGTGAAAAAGTTTCAAATAAAAGGTCATGATATACTGAATTTTAATATTAATAATATTTATTATTATGTGTAATATCACCATTAATGCCTATGTACATAATATTAACTTGTTGATCAATCATGTCGTTTGATATTTTGTTGAATAATAATATTATGATCTATGATAATCTAACTGAGAAGCTAAATTATAATATTATGAAGTGTAAAGTGTACATCATCGTGACATATTTTATAAAATTATTAATTAATTTATATACTTACTAGGTAGATAGCTGGTATTAAAAAATAAAATACTAAAAAATAACTCTTGGTAAATGTTCGTTTAAAATGCCGACGGGGTAGCGGGTTATGGGTACTCAAATATTGCTTGMGAGCTCCTTCGAGCTCAGTAAAAATCGAAAATATGAATAATATTACTAACGTGTTATTTCTCATTTTTCAAACATAAAATAGTTTTGTGAAAATATATTGTCGTTGTTATATCCTTATTGTAGGTAGCATTCGTCAAGTGAAAATTCGTTTAGTCCAATCGGGAATAAACAGGGATAATAATAATTAATTACATAGGTATTTTTTTCTATGGATATTTCCATAATACTATAAAAAAAAAGTACATTCATTAAAAATAAAAATATTATCACACTAATGACATGCATTTTAAACCATAAAAGTTGATGGAAACTACCGACAATATCATTTTATTAGTGAATATAATTGTTAAAACATGATATGATTTTCATTTTTTGAATAATCAATTCAGTTAATGGGTTTTACATACTATGTATATGCTCCCTAGATAGAAAAAGTTCGATTTTATTATAGTCTTGTGCAATTCATTTTAATTGGACAAAACTAATTAATTGTCTACAATGATTTTTATCATTAATTTGAATTTAAAATAATAAAAAAAACTCCAGTGAATAACACTTCTTTCATGTAACTTTAATTTGTATAATTTTATTCAGACTATAGTGCAACTAATACATACAATTCTTTAAAATACATTTTTTCTATATTTATTTTCCTTTGTTTTACAACAAGTCTTCGATAGTTTTCAAGAGCATTATACGTATTACTTCACTATTGATGAAAATTAAAACACTATACATTATTCTTTTTTTTACTTTAATCGATTGTATACTTTTTTTTTTATTTCAGGCTAAATTTCAACGAAATCAATGATTACTTATTGACTCACTGTTATAAACAACTGAATCCGTTAATGATTATATTTAAGGGACCAGAAGACATAGGTAGTTCTATCCTATATGTCATTATATATACTGACATTTATTATAAACTTATACCTAATTATTTCAAATTAGTTAAATGCATAAATATGTATAATATAAGTTAAGGAAATAACAATGTTAAATTGAAAAAGATACATATTTATATATTCATACATATTACATACATACTACAATATATTTTATCCATAATACATACCTATTAAGATTTTCAACAAAAAAAATATAATAATAAAGGGATTAGTCTTTATCTATACTAAAAACATAACAATTTATTGTATAATTAAACATTTTCAATTAATACAAATAAGAAATAAAAATTATTTATTGAATTAATGTTAGTTAAAAACTCTTACTATAGAATAAAATACATCTAATAAATAATCTTTAGTGTATCGTCATCGGGTTTGAAGTTTTTTTAAAGTTATGAATCTTTCTCGTGTATGAAATTTATGGGTGTATTGCGTTTAAAATACTAGTAAACTTGAAGAAATATGCGCTCTAAATGTTGTGTTCATAAATAAGACACCAAATCAGTTAATGTTTAAGATAACCATAATGTACCTTCTAAGTTTATTTCAAAGTTTCTGACTACATTATACTATAATAGGATACCGTATTTAAAATTTCATTTCATAAAACATTTAAATCAGTTTAAATTAAAACAGAACTTAAGTAAATAAATTTTGTGATTGAATAATTTACAAAAATTATARTTCATTTGTTCTGTGGTAATATTAATTTTGTATTGCAATGCAAAACGTGATCAATTTATACGTCCACACTCATTATTACAAAAAGTGTTTTCCATTTTCATCGTAATCATTTTTCTACGTAATTACTTTTTATGAACGATAATATACATTTTTATTTTCATATGACATAGCAGAATAGTTTTTAGTAAGCGTTTTGACACAAACAAGTCAAGTTTTTAACGAGAATTTAAAAATGTATGTTTTTGTTTTTATGAGCGAAATAAAGTGGCACCAACTGATTCTATTCTCCGATCATTTAAATACTTAAACAGCATATAAATAACTATCTTAGAGTCAAAACTTTGATTAGTATTTATCAAAATACTTTGAAAAATATTTCGCTTCAGAATATAAAATTAACGGTGTATGTTGTTATTCAAAAAAGTAAAAACTTAGAAATTTAAAAATCACAAAACATGTAATTGTTTTAATATTGTTTCACAGTAACATATAATTATTTAAAAAAAAGTCAAAACATTTGGAAATAATGAATGTAGACCTTAAATTAATCDTCTTGTATAATTATTTTAAAAAAACMTCGGATCATGTGTGGCTTTCATCCATTAAAAAAATAAAAAAAGTTAAATCTTTTACACTTCAAGTACTGTACCCAAAATATGAATTATTGTCACTGAATGAAAATTTTTGTTTTATAAGAATGTCAATTTTTTTCAATTTATTATATAAACTGATAAATGAATATAGGACATATCTATAATGTCCTTGTGATATTTCACAATAACATGGGCAAAATAAAATTGACTGATGGCGATCATGTATTTGTTTTTATTTTTTAGTATAAATTACAATAATTTATTTGATTCATTTTTTGTTTAGGGAGAGCAACAAAAGCCACCACTAATATTATTTAAATAATATATTTAAATTTCCAAATGGAATTCTAATATTCACCTTTAAGAAATATCAAATAACTATATATACTTTGACGATATGTGAAGTATATTTATTACCCGTTGCTAAGTGATTAAATAACCAGGAACAGGGTGCAATAAAATATGTGTAGCACCTGTCTAAAAAAGTAAATATAAATCGGATGAAATCACTTTAATTTACATCGTTCACAGTAAAGCTAAAAGGGAAAGACTATACTACTAGTTTAAACCTTAATAATAATGATTATCTAGCATAATATATATTATGTATGTTATCATATCACGAATGAACAATTATAATATATGTGTGTGTATTATATATAATTATACATTTTAATAACCTAATTATTGTATACATAATTATATTATAACGTTTTATAGTGTAAGTAAATTGGTTTTTAATATAATAATAAACATAGTTTTGTTTCGAAATTGTATTTAGTGTTAATTTTGTCTTACATTATTATCCATGATCATTGCTCACTGAGTATCCTTTGATGTAACAATCTATAAAACGGGGGACGAGGTGGCCAAGCGATTTAACGCAGTAACGCGTCGGCTGTGGCTCAGCCGGACCGGATTTGATCCTCGACATTTGG